TGCCCGTCTCCCTGGCCTCCCGTCGCCCTCCGTCCCTGTCCCTGTCTCCAGCCCCGCCCGGCCCGCCCGGCCCCGCTGAGTCAGAGTCTCCACACTAAGCTCTTCCCACCGTCGTCATAAACAGCCCTGGAGAAGCTGCGCCAGGTCCGAACACGCCGGCGCCCGCACGCCCCAGGCCTTTGTTCCGACCCGGGCGGCCTCACATGCGCGCCGTCCCCTGCGGTCCTGCGCCAGCCGGCCAGGCCCCGAGCAGGAGCACGAGGCGGGGCCCGGAGCAAGGGGATGGGGGCAGAGCCGCAGCCCACTCCCCTGTCTCTCCCGGGGCAGCCCCGGGCCCTTCCCCCACCAGGGCGGGTGACAAAATCACCCCATGCCTGTCTGCAGTAACGCAAGAGGCCGTTCCTGCCCAGGCCTGGACTCCACGGGCAGGGGCTGAGCAGGCTCTCGGGCTGGGCACCAGCATCCCCAGCTCGGTGTGGCTCGGCCTCAGCCTCCTCCAGGGCTTCGTCTTGGTCTACAATGTGCAAATAACAGAACCCGAAGCCAGGGACACTGTCACAGGCCCTGGGCCATGGTGAAGACCCCAGACACAGCTACAGTTAGGTGACCCCAAAACGGACGCCAGAGTTGGGCCAGATGGTGGCCAGCTGGCCTTGCCTCTCTGGGGACCCTATGGCTTCTGTCCTGCCTCGGTGGCCCAGCGAGCAGAGCCCTGGCTCCCAGCTCAAAGCCTCCGTGCTGACCACATGGAGCAGCCCCCTTCTGAAGACCGACTGAGCCCAGGAGTCCAGCCTCAGCCTCTGCGGCCCGGATCACGAGGCCGGGCCAGGGTCACACAGCGGCAGCTGCTGACTGGTCCAGGTGGGCGCCCCCTCCCAGTACCCACCCCTCTACTCCTGCTGGCCTTCGAGGGCCCAAGGGTCTGGCAGCAGAGGGCACGCTCGTCAGGGCTGCCGCGCTGCGGGTCTCAGTGACACCTCCAGGATGGTCTCCCACCCCGTCCCAGCCACCTCAGGAGCCTGACATGGGCTTGGTGTCTTAGTCCACAGGGAGTTTGTGACTCTGACCTTCAGACCCCCAGCTGTACTGTGTGATCCTGGCTGCCTGGATCCTGGGCCTAGGAAGGTCTGGGCTCAGATGAGGGGGAAGATGGGTTCACAGGGAAAGATGAACAGAGGACCTGGGGCCTGCTGATGGGGGTGTGGCCTGCAGGCTTGCGGGCATAGTTATCTTAAGGCCCCATCCCCAGCCACCCATCCATTCACCCAGGGCATCCCGGGTACAGCCCTGGCCCTGCATGCCCCTGGCGCTCACTGCCTGCAGGCTGAACGACAGCAGGGCTGCCAGGGCACTGCCCTCCCACCCTGCACTGTCCCCAGGAAGCAGCTGCCAGGCAGCCTGTGCCCTCACCCTGCCCCGCCCCTTATTCAGGACGGTGTCCTGGGACAAGACAGTGGGCTCCCAGCTCGAGCATCACCACGGCCTGATCCGGTGACTGGGCTGCTCCTGTCCCCTCAGAGAGCAGCGTCATCTGGTGTCACGTCACAGCTGTCCCCCGAGATTTTCTAGCGGTCACCAGAAAAGTGGAGATGACCAGGGGGACTTGAAATGGACGTTTTATTTGGCCGCTCTGCCAGGAGGGCCTCACTGCAACGAGCAATCGGGATGAAGACGCTCGGGGAGACTTTCTTTGCTCTCAACGCCTGTCGCGGTCTCACACCACAGCACGGGTGATTCGCACACACGAGGCCTCGGCGCTCCCGGCCAGCCCCCGCCACGGCCACCGAGCGGACAGTGCTGCCCAGTGCTTCCTGGGGATAATACCGCCCTCCCCTGGGCCTGGTCCGAGAAGCCCCACCAGGGCAGCAGAAGCACGCACCCAGGAGCCGCCCTCTGTCCCTGGGGCCCCTTCCCCAACACCCGGGTCGCACCAGCTGGCCTCGGGCCTGTGCGGCACACAGTGAAGCCAGGACTGAGCCCCGCTGGGATGGGGAGCGCGCCCCGGGCAGAGCTCACCACAGAGCAACAGCAGCAGCGACAGCTGCAGCTCGGTGGCCGCAGGCCGCTCATGTGAACCAGGATTAGGATGTCCCTATGCCTGGTCATGTCCAAGGCCAGCACATGATGGCGGGGCTCCGCCCTCCCTGGCAGCCAGGTGCAGCCAGGCCGCACACAGCCATAGCCTGGCCTGGGCTTGTACAGCCCAGGGGGAGCTGCCAGGCGTGAGGGGACTACATCAGCTCAGGGAGGCCCAGAGCACCTCGCACCACGGGCCCCAGGACCGGGCCAGCGCAGGGTCCTTGTGGAAAGATCTATCTACAGGGAGCAGCGGGTGCCGTCCCTGAGGGGTGGAAGCCTCTGCACGGTGTGCAGGCTCTGCACAGGGCTTGTTTGACAGTTCAGGGGTCCCTTCGTACTCGAGAGTTAGAGCCGGCCTGAGGTCACATGCAAGGCCTACAGGGACCGTCCCCCTCTTGAGGGCAATCATTAATGCGCACCACGTGAGTGGCCATTCCCACCCGTGCCCTGGCGCCCCGTCAGCTCGTGCCCTGGCTCCCGTCTGTGCGCAGCACCTGGGCCACCTCGCTGCCTGTGACCATCAGCAGCTATGTCCTCCTCGAGGGACAGGAGACCCAGCCTGCAGGTCTGAAAGTCTGCCCGGCGCAGGGCGTGGGCAGGGCCGGGAAGACCAGGCCCCAGAGGATGCCGGGAAGATGAAGCTCCAGGATGGGATGAAAGGTCGTGGCCTGACCGGTGGAACAGAGGGAAGGGAGGAGAGAGAAACCAGGAGGGGTGAGGTATGCGAGGGGCTGCTGAAACCCCAGGCCTAGGAGTTAACCTTGTTCCAGAGAAATAGGGAGCTAGTGCACATTCTAGAGCAAGGAGGCAACATGGCATGGCTTCTGCTTAACCCAGTAACTGGGGCTGGTGGGGCTGGCAAGAAGGGACCAGTGAAGCAGGCCCGGCAGTGGCATGGGCAGGGTGGAGGGGTGGACAGTGGCAATGACACCGGGTGTTCCAGCAGGGGGCGATGACCCGGGCATGGTGGATTTAAGCGGCAGATGCTACAGATCCAGTAGGTCAGTAGGACCTGGAGCAGTGGCCGAGAGGAGAGGGGGCCGGGCGTGCCAGAGGGAGGACGCCCCAGAGGTCAGGTGAGGAGCAGCCCGGGAGGCAGAGGAGCCGCACACAGAGCACTGGGGCCTTGCAGCTGGCCCAGGGCAGGACCAGTTCTGGCAGGAACCAGGGGAGCAGGCAGGGGTGGCACAGAGGCTGGGGTGCAGGGGTGTGCATGTACAGCAGCCCCCCAGGAAGGGCTGCCTTCACTTCCATCAGTGCCTCTGGGGACACAGTGGTCCCCAGCCCAGCTCTGCAGGGCCCAGGGTACTTCTCCAGAGGGACAGGCACGATACTCAGGTGACCTGGGACACCAGGGTGCTCACGGCAGGTCGGCGGCCGTGTCACCTGGCAGGGACAGCCCATAGGAGCCGCGCACTAGCTGGGGCGCTGGGGCGTGGGGCAGGGCTGGGGCAGCCTCCAGGTCTGCACCTGTGTCTCGGGGTCCCCAGCTGCCACCCCTCTGCCCACACGCAGGGTGACACAGCAAGGAAGACCAGAGGGGCAGTGGACACCTGGATCCACGCAGCTCCCTGCCGAGTGGTAGCCAGTGACCTTGGGACTCCCCCGGGGCCTCAGTTTCCCCAGGTGGGAGTGCGGAGCCAGAGGCGCTGGGCACGTAGGTGGGCACCAGCGCGGAGCAGGCACCCGGCTGGCACCTGGAGGGATGGAGCTGCACTTGGGTGGCAGAGCCCGGGGGCGGGGGCGGAGCTGCCCTCCTGGCAGTGCCAGGTGCCACCCACGGCTGCTCACCGCAAAGGGGCCCCCAGGGGCTTTCCCTGGTGCCACCCCAGCCCCACGCCTGCGTTCCCAGCCCTGCACAGCTAGGCGCTGGCCTATGTCCCGGCAGCTGTGGCCCTGCTCGGTGGCCCAGGCTCCTGGGATCGGAAGGTCATGTTGTGCCCGCAGGCTGGGTACCTGCAAGCCTGGCTCTGGGCACCCCCATCTGACCCTCCCAACAGCCTGCTGGGCAGGCTGATCGCTACTCCTCCCTCAGGCCTCCTTCAGGGGTTTATTGAGCGCCTGCTGCCTGCGGGCACAGGGAGGGGCCGCAGGGACGCAGAGGAGAAACTGAGGCCCAGAGCAGCTCCGGGCTCCCGCCTGAGGTCACACAGCTGGATCCAACCAGGTCAGGCCCCAGAAGTCACGTTTTTCCTGCAAGCCACTCCGGGGGCTCTCAGAGAGGACCCTCCCCGGGCCTCAGTTTCCTTGTCTGTAAAAATGGGCGTGGTGAGGTCTGTCCCCAGTGTGAGAGCAGAGGAGGGCCATCGGGACCCCCAGGACCGGGCCATCGGCACAGATTGTGCCACCCTCGACACATCATGGTGGGCGCTACCCAACCCCACTCCCGCGCGCCACATTCCCTGCGGCCACTGCCGCGGCATTCCCCAGGCTCACAAGTTCCCTCTGCCTGGAACCCCTCCCACCCCAAGACAGGACGTCACTTCCTCCTCCCGGGTCAGTCCCGGTGCCCACACAGCAGGTGCCAACCTCCCTCCTTCCGGGTCAGAAGTGGAGGCGGAGGGACAGCAGCACCTGGGTCTACAAGGTCTCTGGGCACCCGAGACATGCCCTGGCCCTGCCCTGCACCCCCACTGTCAGGGTCCTGTGCCCAGCGGACAGTGTCCCCTGTCTCACTGCCCAGAGCCAGTGCCCTCCGCACACGCATGGAGTGTCCCTTCCCGCACGGGGCGGTGTCCAGGGCCCAGACCGTGGCCGAGTCCCCCTGGGACCCCCATGGTCAGACCTGGACAGGGCCAGTGGCACGGAACTTGGAAGGACAGCAAGCATGGCAGCCGGGCCGGGCCTGGCCTGGGAGGCACCGGGCACCTGGCTCCCGCCCTCTGGCCCCGGCCGGCCCTCGATCCTGGAGGCACCCTTACCTACTCGGAGCTCTTGCCCGAAGACGGTCTTCTCGCCCAGGGCGGAGCAGTTCCAGCGGCCGAAGCGGAACTGGTACTGGCACTCGTTGATGCCCATCTGTGCGCCCTCCCCGATCACGATGATGGCATCGGGCCGGCTCTGGCAGATGGCACGCTGCCGCGGCGCCAAACCAGGAATCTTGTTGCATATGATGTTGGCTCCCAGGGCCACCACGGACGACAGTGCTCTGCAGAGGCAGGGAGAAGAGACAGGCGTGAGGCCGGGCGGGCAGGCGGCACCCCGTCCCTGTGGCACCTGGCAGGGCAGACTCCCGAGCGGGCAGCCAGGCCCCCAACCCTGGCACTGACTCCAGCCCTAGCTCTTGTGTGAGCTCAGGAAAGCTCTCGACCTCAGCTTCCACATCTGCAAAATGGGCATCTGAGACATCCAAGTCCACCACCAGCCCTGGGTCACAGACAACCCAGGGAAGGGCTGCCTGCCTAAGAGATGGGCCACTGGCACTGCCTTCCCACATCTGGGTGCCTGGTATATGCAGGAGGAAGCAGGGACGAGGCCAACTGTGCACCTACTGTGTGCCGGGCATGGCAGGTGCCACCTTGGTGCATCCTCCCAGCGGTCCCCCAGGGTGCCTTTGTAATAATCTAGCAACTCCCAGGCAGGAAGGCGCTTGCCAAGCTGGCCCTGAACTGGAGCTATTATCAGCCTGATTGTTTGTTTGTTTTTCTAATGAGGCAAAATTCACATAACATAAAATTAACCAGTTTAAAATACACAGTTCCGCAGCACTTGTGCATGCTCCAGGTTGTGCAACCACCGCTTCTATCCAGTTCCAAGATATTTTCATCAGCCCAAGAGGAAACTCCGGACCCATCAGCAGTCACTCCCCACACCCTCCTCCTCCCCCGGCCCCTGGCAGCCGGTAATCCGCGCCTCGTTCCCACGGATCGGCCTATCCCGGACACGCCGTGTGGACGGAATCTCACAACACGTGGTCTGTTACGCCTGGCTCTTTTCCCTCAGTGGAATGCTGTCAAAGCGCGTCCACTCCAGAGCCTGCACCCGCGCCTGAGCATCCGTCCTCTTTGAGGCCGAGTACTATTCCACGGCACACGGGCTGTGCATCTGCACCCCCCTGAGCACGTGCGTGTGAACTTCTGCCCACGTCGGGACCCAGCTGGGGATCTTTGGGGCACAGAGCTGGGAGAGGAACTTTCCGGGGCCGGCCAGCAGCTGCTTTCCACGGCCCTTCATCGATTGTCTGGTTCCAAGCGCCCGGAGAAGGCACATCAAGATAGGAGGGGAGGGCCGGTGCCAAGCAGCACCACGCTTCTACACCACAGACCAGAGCTGCTTGGAGCGGGGACCGCAGAGCCCCCACAGCTGCCGTCCAGCCCCGGGGCCCCCTCCTGCCGGGGAGAAGCCAGGCAGTGTTTTTCCAGGGTGCCGCACACCCCAGGTCGCTGCTCCGTCCCCGTGTAGCCTGAGTCCCCAGCACGTGCCACAGCCGGGCGATACTCAATCCCCAGCCCGCCCGCTCTCACGCTAAGCTGGCTGAGACCCCCCGGGTCTCAAGCAGGCACAATGGGTGGCCACGCCCCGGGCCCGCGTGGAGGAAAGGGCATCAGGGACGGGCGGGGCTGGGAGCGGGCTGGAATCCGGAGAATTCAGCCTAAAGTAATTGTAGATGCTCAGAGACCAAGCGGCCGGGACATGAGCTGGATGGGAACCTGGCCGGGCACTGGCCGCCACCGCGGGCCGGAGCTGTTTGAATTCGGGTCCTGGGCCTACAGAAGGCTCCTGTTGCCAAGCTCCCCCCGGCCGGCAGGCGTGGGCCATGAACCCTCACTTCCTGCAGGGGAAAGAGCTCAGCAGGTGGGGTCTATCTGGGGACCCGAAGGGGACCGAGGGAGGCCAAGGGCAGAGACAGACCACAGAGCCACCACACAGAGCCAAACACCTCTGCTGAAAGGGGTCCGGGACACATCTCCCCGGGAAGGACACATAGATCACCACAAAGCCACATGGACAGCTCAAGCTTCACTGGGGAAAGCACACCTGTGATCCCAGAACTCTGAGAGGCTGAAGCAGGAGAATCGCAAGCTAGAGCTAGAGCCCAACCTGGGCAACTTAACAACCTACAGAGACGCTGTCTCAAAATAAAGAACAGGTAGGGGATGGGCTCGTAGTAAAGGAGCTCATTGTTCAATCTTCAGGACCACAGGCAGACACAGCACCCACGGGGACTGGTCTGATTGAAAACAGGAAAGCTGGGAAACGCTGCACCGGGGAGCGTGTGGGAAACAGCCTTTCGCACTGCAGGTGGAGTCGGGCAGGACGTGGCTGCTCTGGGCAAGTTTGCAAAGCACCAAACACAGCTAGTAATTCCTCTTCTCAGTAGAGATCCAAAGGAAGCGAAGACACACAAAAAACATGTACACAATGGTAACTAGCAGCACAACTCTCTCCAGCCAGCCCGTACAAATAGCCTGAAGGTCCACTAATAGAGGAGCGATAGACAACATGTGGTATAGCCCCATAGTGGAATATTACTTGCCCGTGAAAAGGAGCAAGGTACAAAATCATGCTGTCATGTGGGGGGGACTCAAGAACATGACACTGAGTGAAAAAAGCCAAACCCAGAGACCATGCACTGTCTCATTCTATGAATAGGAAACTGCAGGGAGACCAAGAACAGAACAGTGGTTGCCCAGAGCTAGGGGGAGGCAGGGGTGGTAGCTGTGCTGTTTCCACCCAGGACGGTGACAGTGTCCCAGAACGGACAGGAGAGACAGCTGCACGACATGCCGAGGGGACGGGACGGGGCTCCGGACGGGAGCAAACGGGTTCCATCCTATGTGCATTTAACCGGTGTTTTAAAATTATGACAGCACACAGGGCTCCTGTGCCCTGGTGGAGGGTGGGACCTGGGTGCATGGGGCTCCGGGGTGGAGGGCCTGGCACCAGCACCCCCAGGAGCCAGCCCGTGGGCAGAGGGGAGGAAGGGCAGCAGGGAGCAGCGCACCATCAGATACGGCCGGAATTCGGAAATCCTTCCGCGCTGTCTCCCTTTGTGTAGGTTTTTCCACTCACGACATAGTGCTCCGTCTTTGAGCCCACGGGGGCCTCCCTGCACCCTAACCTTCAAGTCCGGGGTCACGGGGTGGAGTCGGGCGCCCGGGGGGGCGGGGGCCGATGAGCACAGAGACAGCCCGAGCAGGCACTAGGCCCGCTTACTTTGTTTTCTGTTCTTTCTGAACCGAGGCCTTCACACTGAGCCGCGTCCCCAGACCTTCTCTTTCCATGTTTAAATTTTGAGATAGGGTCTCACAAAATTGCCTAAGCTGGACCGAAATTTATACTCCTCCTGCCTCAGCTTCCCAGAGTGCTGGGATTATAGGTGGGCATCCACTCTTTATCCTCAAATGCGCTTGAATCCAAATCCTTGCGGTAGTTCCTTCCTTCCTTCCCTCCTTCCTTCCTTCCTGGCGGTGTCCGAGCCGCCCCACACCTGCCCGCTGCCCCTGCCGCACTGAGACCCTCAGGGCGATGCTCCCGCGTTCCGGCAGGGACTGCGCGGAGGGCCACCTCAGCAGGGCCCCGGCAGGGAGACCGGGGCCACGTCACCTGTGAGCCTGGAGACGCTGGGCGGGGCGTGGGCTGCTGGCTTTTTCTGTGGAAAGTTCTGCTCTGGGCTTGTCCCTTGTGCTGCACAGGGGCCCCGGGACTCAGGCAAGACGCCACAGGAGAGGGCCGCCGCGCGTCCGGACACCTTCCTCCTCCCGGCCTGGCCCAGGGCCTCAAAAAGGGGTCCGAGGAGAGGTCCTGTCCTGTGCCAGGGCGGGGGCGTAACCGCCAGTTCAGAGAGGGTTCCATCACTCATTCATTCGTCATCTGACAGTGACACCTGGGGCACAGCATACAGTGACCCCTGGGGCGCAGCACACAGTGACCCCTGGGGTGCAGCATACAGTGACCCCTGGGGCGCAGCATACAGTGACCCCTGGGGTGCAGCATACAGTGACCCCTGGGGCGCAGCATACGGTGACCCCTGGGGTGCAGGAAATAACATGTGGTCCCTGCTGCTGAGAGCCAGGGCGTATCTGGGGACTGGAGTGCTGAAAGGCGGAGATCAATGTCTCCAGGAGCCTGGGAGCCCACCCCAAAGGCCTCTCTCTCCCTCCTGGGGACCAACAGGAGGCGGGCCGTCCTTACAAGGGGCCACACCCTGCCACCCCCGCCGTGTCTGAGGGTCAGGGATGAGGTGTGTCACGGGGCAGGGCCGGTGACAAAGTGCTGACAGGCTGGCAGGAGCTTGGGCTCCACCTCTGCTCCTGCCCGAGTTCCCGCGTTCCTGGGCAGGCGGCCGACCCTCGCTGGGCCTCGGCTTCCTGTGCTGGCGGAATTAGGAACTGGTTGTCATTGCTGCTGCACTTGGTCCCCGAGCTGTGAGACAGGAGCACGGAGGGGACCAGGGCCCAGGCCATCACACAGGAGGTGCTGAGGCCACCCCACACTGCTCCCCAGGGTGCACGCTGAAGGTCAGCAGGGTCCGGAGTAGGGTGCCCGCTGTAGGGTCAGGAGAAGACAGATGGCTCTAGACCCAGCCCTGCCTGGGGAGTGAGAGCTCACCCCGTGCCTCTCCTGAGCTGGGAGGAGGACACCCCCCAGGGGCCCCAGGCTGGGCCTCGCGGGGACTGGGGTGCTGCCCTAGAGGAAGGTGCAGCCCCGGGGCCCGTCCAGTGCACAGCTGGTGCGTGCAGACACGCATGTGCGGCGGGCATTGCGTGCGTGTGTTTCTCTTGGGAATGGAGACGCTGGTCTGAGCCCACTGGGTCAGCGACACACCCGCCAGCACCGGGCACCAGCTGGCTTCAGGACTGTGGCTTCGGTGCAGCTGGCCCGCCTGGGTCCAGGGAGCACAGGTCCCGCCCGGCCCCCAGGTTGAGACCCAGAGGGTAAAGGGTGGCTGCGGGCATTACACGTCCCCAGGTGTAACGGGGACGCCTCCAAAACATCCCCCTGCCAACAGCGCCATGACGCAATGGGCTGTGCTCACTCCCATTTTACAGAGGAAGAAACTGAGGCACAGGGAGGTTAAGAGTCAAGCCCGAGGCCTCACAGCTAGGAAGAGGCTGATCCAGATCCCTCCTGGCTCACCAGCACCAAGCTCATGGTGCCAAGCCCACCCAGGGCGGCCCGGTGGGCGACCAGGAGCCCAAAGCCAGG